TTTGTTTTTTCCAAAGAAAACGCGGGGGGGGGGGTTGGTGATGATAGAGACAGAGACACCGGCCGACGCTGGGCGGAGAAGGAGGAGAGAGACACTGACCGAAGCTAGCTAGGGGGGGGGCAAGAGCAGAGAGACACCGACCGACACGGAGGGGAGGAGGAGAGAGGCACCGACCGACGCTGGGGGGGAGAGAGAGAGACAGCGACCGACGGGGTGGGGGGGAGAGAGAGACACCGACCGACGCTTGGTCACGTAAAAATTTCCTCGGCCAAAAAGGGGTCACGGGTTGAAAAAGTTTAAGAAGGCCTGATCTAAAGGAGGTCAAAATCATCCGTGAAGAGCTCAGATGGATCTCAGAAGCATCTCAAACCAATCTCAAATACAAGCTCAATGCCCATGAATGCATGCCCATATACACAGGAGGAAATTTATGGTTTTAATTTGAGTTTCCAACTATGCCCAAAGCCTGTATTCTTGTATACCACATGGACTGGCAAACTGAGAGCTATATGTGCCACTCGCTGCCCTGTAGGCAGGAAAGAAGGTTGCTTCCAGATGGCTAGGTGCCATTGAAGGACCCACACAAACATACACCAATCAACCATAACATTATGACCACTAGTAGACCACTAGAGACCACCAGTCTAATACTGAGTTGGCCCCCTTTTGTCGCCAAAACAGCCTTGACCCGTGGCATGGGCTCCACTAGACCCCTGAAGGTATGCTGTTTTATCTAGCATCATGCCTTCGGTAGCAGATTCTTTAAGTCCAGTAAGTTGCAAAGTGGGGCCACATGCATCAGTAAGCCTTGGCCTATTATGACCCTGTCGGCAGTTCACCAGTTTTCTTTCCTTGGGCCACTTTTGGTCGGTCCTGACTACTGGAGACCAGGACATAGTCGTCTAGCCATCACAATTTGGCTCTTGTCAAAGTCGCTCAAGTCCTTATGTTTGCCCATTTTTTCTACTTTCAACACATCAACTTCACGGACACAATTCTCACTTGCTGCCTAATATATCCCAGCCACTTCCAGGTGCCCCTGTAACGAGATGATCAATGTTGTTCACCCCACCTCTCAGTGGTCATAATTGTATGACTGATTGGTGTAAATTTACTGTATAGATGTGTAGGGATTCCAGTATATGAATTCAAGTATTGTGATTACTGTTTGGGATAAAATTGTTTTAGTTTGATGAAGGACAATAACATTTCTTGATCACATCTAGTGTCACCTCGATGTGTGTGGTACCCCCATCAACCCCCTCCCCCCCACCCCCCACC